AAATCATCATCATCATCATCATCATCATCATCATCATCATCATCATCATCATCATCATCATCATCATCATCATCATCATCATCATCATCGATATTCGATCCCATAGGCTTGAGAAACACAGGGGAACGTTCACATTCTACTGTTACCAATTCAAGCTTTTAAGTGAACATTGGGGAGCGTTCATACTCTAGATTCTACGCTTTTCGACCCAGACATCGGAAGAAAGAAGAAATAGGGGAAAAGCAAAGAAAGGAACATTTTAAAAAATATATTTCTACTTTCCCTTTTTAGGATTTTGATGGTTGAATTGTGAAAATTTAACAAAGCAGGGAATGAATAATAGCTATGTTCATTTTGAAAGTGAATAAATAATTTTAGCCAGGAATACACGGGGGGTAAAACAGAAGTGCAAAAATTCGGCCTTCTTTGGGCCAATTCCAACAAAACTTTGAAAAATAAAATTCAAATAGGGGAACACACACCATATTTGTCAATATGTGCCACGACGCTGTGGAATAAGGTCCTCGTCAATTTTTGGGCATTTGGAGTTATTGGTATGATCTTAAAGCTTGTTCCTTTTTTGTAACTTTCGATGAAAAAAATACCCATTTATCTTGAACAGAAGTCGAGATATCTATAAATGAAGGAGGTGAGGTCGCCTGGTTTCAGAGGTAAAATTAGCTAGAAAATGGCCGACATAGATTGGTGATTTCCATAGCTTTAGAGACCTTGAAAACTGAAAATTAGCTATTTTTTTGTGCTGGTTTTCAGGAAAATCAACACAGAAAAGTGTTTTTAAAAGGACAGGAAAGGTGTAGAGACAAAAAATAATAATTGCAGTTTTCTATGATTTCATTAGTTTGACGAGCACCTGATTTCACCACGATGCCTTACATGGAGAAAATCAACTGACGTCTTCGCAAAATGTCGCATTCAAAACTTTCAACTAAGATTGACTGAAACGTCAAACTTTTCACCTTTTTAAAGTTCAACCCGTTCAACCATATCTTTCTATTTCAAGTAGTGTGCATTGTCTATCAAGGTACATTGTACTTTCTGTGCTGAAGGGTATCCATAGATCGATATATCTAGACCAAAAGAAATCTTCATTAGATGGATTTCAGAATGCTTACATTTGCTTACAGAATGGTGGATATCAGAATGCTTACATTTGATTATAGAATGGTGGATTTCAGGACCCTTATTTTTGTAACCTTAGAATTATAAAATACTACCAGACATTTTGGCTGTTTTGAAATACTAAGACCATGAGGTCACAAACCAATTGTTCTTTCTGCTCCATCAAAATTGTAAGATTAATCTGAGTCGTTATCAAGATATATTCAAAGGATTGCATTCTAAAAGGCTTGACATGTTGTGAAAATCAAAATTTCGGCGTAAAATTTATCAAAACTAGGTATGAGCTGATAGAACTCTGTAATTCTGAGGTAGCTGTTCGTCAGTATTGCCCATTGTGGAATATCTTGATAGGAGCACCCCGGAGGAACCATCGCGATATCCGCCTTGCCGACAACGGACAGAGGACAATAATTATGAGCTAAATTAACTCTAAATTTCAAAATAAACTGGACTGTTAACGAAGATAGGTCTTTTGTTTTATCGGACATTTCCGACAAGACGGCTGGATTCGGGGTGGCGTCAACGTAGGACGATGGTACATGCACTTATTGCTAGCACTGCCCCCC